GCCCTCGTGTCGGCCGTGGTGGTGTCACATTGGCCCCTCGAGACCCAGGTGACTTATACCGCTGCTGATGCTGGCTGCTGCGATTGGGAGTGGCAACCCCGCTGTCGATGCCCGTTGCGGTATCACATCTGTTTGGAGTCGTGGCCCCTCGAGACCCTGGACTCCTGGGAGTACCTGGTCTGGTGCGCGAGATTGTCGGAATCTCCGCTGGTCCATTTGTTACAAGACGGCTGTCGCAATTACCTCCAGGGCCCGCCGTGCTGTCAAGCCTCTGGTGGTGGGTAGGTCGAGCATCGTAGTGGAGGACCCCACTGCCGTGCTGCGGGCTTTGGGCCCCAGCTGCTCTCCCCGATGCTGCCCAGGAGATCGATGCTGTCGAACTGATCGGAGAGCGTGACGAAGTCCCACATCCGTCATGCTCTGCCCTGTTGGACTCATCGGCCGCCTCCTGGCGCTGAATTCTGTCATGCATAACCTGAAGCCTGGCGGCGCTGCTAGGCCCCCTCCCCCCCTCGGGGGGATTCGGCGGGCGCTGCTGCTGCCTGCACCTCGGCTCCAGGAGTTGCAGGAGGGGAGGGGGTTGCTGTGCCCCGTGTCTCATCCCTCCTGCGGGCCACTCGGCCACGAAAACGGGCTATGCCTGACTCTCCAGAGTCTACCCGCTGACCCTTGTGGGCCTGGCTGATGTCTTCTCCTGGAAATGCGGGCACTGGACCGAACGCCTCTTCGAGGGCTGCAGCCGCGGCGGCGGCCGAGGTGTGCTGGCGCGTCATGATGTCGATGCCCTCATACTGCCTCTCGATGCTGGCCCCATGCCGCCTCCGCGTTCTGCTGGGACGCAGGGGGGGGGGTCAATACGAAGCTGCCGGCTCCCTCTCCACGTGGACGCGCTGCTCCTCATGCCCGAATGGAACTGTGGGCGTGAGTGACATCTCGCTGAGTGGCGCTGGCGATGCTGGAATGAGGATTACCTGAGATGCTGTCGGGGTGGGAGGGTCTCCTTGCTCTGCTGGTATCGAGCTAGCCCTTGACGTGGATGCCAGGTCTGTGTCTGCCTCGTGCTGCGTGATCCCCCTCATCTCGTCGCTCTCATCGGGTGTGGGGTGATCCTGGCTCCAGGGCAGCCACCTGGCGGGGTAGATCATCGGCGCGTGCTCCGAGCCGTCGTCCTCCGCTCGTGAGTCCTGCGTGCCCGCTGTGCCGAACTGGGTCAGGGGGGCCTCCTCGTAGTAGCGCCTTTGGATCTCCTTCGCCTCGTGGTCCCTCACTACGGACTCCAGCTCCTCCTCCATCTGTACGGGTTCCCATTGTGCTTTCTCCTCAGCAGCTTGTCTGTGCAACTCATCTTGTTCGCGCTCGTATCTTTCTGCCTCCTCGTGCGGGTCTGGCCTGTCGGGGCTCCTGGACCTGTCACGCTCTGTGAGGAGGGCCTCGCCTTCGTCAGTCTGGCGGGTTGCTGACCTGGCTGACCTATTTGATGCGGGCCTCCGAGGGGAGGGGCTGCTCTGCCTGCGGCCCCGGTTGGCTGAGCGCTCTTCAGTTGCACCAATTTGGAAGGTCGCAACAGGGGGCTCGACTGTGGCGGCCGCTGCCTCGGCTGCTCCTCTGGCTTCCTCGTACAGGTCGGCGGCCTCCTGGTAGTCGTCCATGGACTCTTGGGACGTTGGGAGGTGGCCCCCTTGGACGAGATGATGAGCTGCCCTCTTGGTGAAGTCGTAGCCCTCCTGTCCGTATTGCCTCATCTCGGCGTACAGGTTGACCATGGCCTTGCGTTCGCGTTCCCTGCTGGCTGCGATGGCTTCCAGGCTCTGCATCCTCAGCTTAAGCTCCTCTGTCTCCGACGCGCCCTGCTGCTCCTTCTTTGCGATGGCGTCTAGCTCGGTGTGCAGCATGCTGGAGCGCTGGAGGCTTTCGTGCAGCGCAAGGTGGATAGCCTCCTCCCTGCCCGTCCTCTGCTGACTGGCGAAGTCTTCCATGGCGGAGGCCTCCTCCATGCTGGCGATCCTGAAGGTGAGGGCCTGGGCGAGCTCCTCCTCGAGCGCCTGCTCCTGCACCTCTGCGTTGGACTTTTGCTCGCTCAGCTGCACCGCGTAGCTGCTCAGTTCCTGTCGCAGGCTCTCTGTGTGCAGCTGCAAGTCATGTGCGTTCGCCTCTTCTATCATGACTTGGCGGGTGAGACTCGCCCTTATTCCCTCAACACTGCCTTCGAGCTCTGCCCGCATTGCCTCCTTGTCCTTCAGGCTGGCCTTCGCGATCTCCTCCTCCTCTGCTCTGGTCCTTAGCAGGGCGAACTGCAAAGCCTGCACCTCATGCGGGACTTGCCGCTCCTTGTTGGCGCTTCTCAGCTCCGCTGCTTCATGATATGCCACCTGTGCTGCCCGCTGCGCAGCGCCCGCCTCGAGCTTGGAGTACTGCTGTAGCTCGTGTATGCGGGCTTCAGCTGCCTCGAGCTCGTTTTTGGTCTGCTTGAGCCTCTCCTGCTGCCGTGCTGCTGTCTGGGCGATCCCTTGCAGCCTGGCCGCCTCTGCCGGCGGGAGGGCCCCTTTTCCCTTGGCGTTGGCAACCACTTGAGCCTGGTCGATTGCCTGGGCCCTGGCTGCTTCGGCGGCAGCTTCTATCTCGAGGACGTAGTTCTTTTTGGCATCCTGGAGCTTCTCTTCCATGACCAGCTCCTGCCTGGCGAGCTGCTGCTTGAGATTACCCGCTGCAGCTGTCGCTTGGGCGCTCTCATGCTGGGCCCGTCGCAGTGACTCTTGTGCCTCGGCTCTTGCCCTCATCAGGTCTTGGTAGGCGCCGTCCTGGGGTTGCGGCTTCTCCAGGTGCTCCGCTCGTACTTGCTCGAGCTGCTCATGCAGGTGATTTGCCCGGTGTGTCGCGGCTTCCGCCTCTGCCTTGGCATGAGTGAAGGCTGTGTCATGGCTGATTATTCTGGCCTCCATCTGCGCCGCGAACTCGAGCTGCTCGTATTGTTGCCTCTTGATCTCATGTCGGAGGGCCTTGTGCTGCTGCTGTTGCTGCTGCTGGGCTGCGCTCTCCGCTGCGGTGATGCGCTGCAGCTGCTCTGACTCCTCCTTGAGTGCCAGCCTCAGTTTCGCCTGCTCGCCATTGTGGCGTAGTGCTTGTTCGCAGGCAACCCTCCTTACTTCCGCCAGTTCGGCAGCGAACTCTTGCTCGGCTTCGGCATGGCGCTGCTGCTGGTGGGCCCGCTCCGCATTTGCCTTGGCCACCTGATCTGCGAAGCCTCTGGTTGCGCTGCCTGCCGAGCTGGCTCTTGGTCGTGGCGATTGCCCTACCGCTCCTGATGGCCAAGCTGGGAGACCGTCACCAGGTGCTTCGCTGTTCAGGCGCCTGTCGATCACAGCCTTGTGGAAAGCATCCCAGCTCGGTGCCAAGCCGAACCCGTCCGTGTCCCAGTCGCCCTCGTCGTCCGCCGCGCCGCCGTCGGCAAGCACAGCCCTCACGTCAGCGATGTTGGACTCGAGCTGCCTCAACTCCTGCTGCTTGGCCTTGAGGTCGTCCCGCAGCTCGTTCGACTTGGCTTCTAGGGCAATGACTTCGAGTTTGACGGCCTTGCGCCTCTTGCTGAGCACCTGCAGCTGGTCGTTCGGCCTTCTCGTGACCAGCTTCTGATACTTGATGACCGCGATCTCCCGTAACTGCTCTTCAGTGCTGTCCCCCGCGGCCTGCTTGGCAATGATCAGGTCGCCCAGCTTCCTCAGCCTCTGATCGGCGGTGCTCAAGAACTTCTGGATGCCTGCGCGGTCGGCCGGGGGCGCCTGCCACTTTGGGTGGGTGGTGGCCTGGTCCAGCGTGCAGGCCGCCACTGAGTCGATTACCTTCTGTGCTCGTTGATCTGCTTTGCTGGAGCTGGCCTGGCCGCCCTTGCTCGCCCTGGGCTGCTGCTGCTGCTGCTGCCAGGGGTGCTGACTGGGCTGCTGCTGCTGCTGCTGCTGCTGCCAGGGGTGAGGACTGGCCTGGCCAGCACGGCGTGGCCGCGACGGCTCCCTGCGCCAGGGCGCGTCCTCTCCTGCCGGCGCAGCGCTCCAGTGCTGATCTCGCCAGCTCGCGCCTTGCCAGCGCTCCTGGCGCCATGGTGGCTCCGATGCCGATGCTGCCTCCTCCTGAGCCTGGCCCTTGCCACTGCGACCACCACTGCCTCTGCCCTTCCCGTCACCTCCTCCTCCTCCTCCTCCTCCTCCTCCTCCTTCTCCTCCTCCTCCTCCTCCTCCTCCTCCTCCTCCTCCTCCTCCCCCTCCCCTCTTCTCCTCCTCCTCCTCCTCCTCCTCCTCCTCCTCCTCCTCCGCCTCCTCCTCCTCATCATCCTCTTCCTCTTCCTCATCCTCCTCCTCCGCGTCCTCCTCCTCCTCTTCCGCCTCCTCCTCCTCCTCCTCCTCCGCCTCCTCCTTCCCTCCTCCTCCCGCCTCCTCCTTCTCCCCCCTCCCCCTCCCCTCCTCCTCCTCCTCCTCCTCCTCCTCCTTCTCCTCCTCCTCCTCCTCCTCCTCCTCCTCCTCCTCCTCCTCTGGGCCCGCTCGGCGGCCCACACGATTCTGAGTAGGATTCGCTTCGACTTCGGATTCCGATGTTTGATTTTGGTCTGGCTAGCCTGCCGATTCCCGCCGATCCGACTTCTCCCGAGTTGGCTGCCGATTTCCGCCGGTCCTGGACGCTCCTCCTGCGTTTAGGGGGCACCGGCCTGGGGCCCGGCAGCGGGCCCCAGGGATCGAAGTCGCTCGGCTGCACGCAGGAGTGGCCCTTCGCTGGAGCGACCTTTGGTGTGGGCCCCCACTGGGGCCCCCCGATCGCCGAGCGCGATGCGGCAGTAGCTGCGCGCTCGTGTGTGGTCCCTCTGCGGCCCCCGGGAAAGCCGCGCGCCAGAGGCCCTTCTTGCCCAGGGTCACTGGCTCTTGCGCCTGGCCGAGAAATCGAGGACAAACGCCCAGACTGCTCAGATCTTGTTGTCGCTCGCCCCCGGGGCCGCCCGATACCCCCACCGCCGCCAGGCGCCGGCGCTGCTGCCCGCGGCACTGCCGGTGTCGGCTCCCTCGCTGCGGCCCCGCGCGGACTTCGGACTTCTCCCCGCCCGTGCCCCCGCTCGGGTGCGGCCTTCGCCTCGCCTGCCACGTGCGTCACCAGGACAATCGTGAATGCTCTCAGCTTTCTCGATGCGCCCGTTTTGAAACGCAGCACGTACCGGGCTCCAAACGTCCGTGTCATTGCGCTGCGTGTTGGCTCAACGTGTTGGCCCACGTTTGGGCGAACGCATCGCGTCAGACCTACGTTTTCCGTCTGCGAGTTGAGCTTCGTATCGGCACGCATCGGGGCAGCTGAGGGCGGCGGCCTTCGCTTCGCCTGACCCGGGCGGCGCCAGGACCGTCGTCGACGTTAGATCGGGGCTGCTCTGGGCCGCGCTTCCGCTCAGGGGTTTCTCGCGGGAGCTCTCGAGTGGAGGCGGGCCCCGAGGTTCCGGGCGCTCGGGGGCCGAGCGAGGGGGGCCCGCCGCCGCTCGGGAAGGCGTTGGTTCGGCAAGTCGGGAGCGCAGGTCAGGTGGGTCTCAAGATTCCAGCTCCGATTCGAGTCGTAGGTGGCATTTTTGTTTGTCTCTTTTGCGTGTGTTGTTTCTCGGCCGCCTAGGATGGAGAAGCCGCGGCGTGTGTTGTTTCTCGGCCGCCTAGAATGGAGAAGCAACGGCAGCTCAAACCAGAAGGATGACAGACGGCAGAACAACACGGAGTCGAACAATGGCGCGGACAACATTGACAAACCAACTGTCTCCAAAGCTGAAAGAAGGCGCCGGATGTGAATTATCTTGGCGAAGGACCCAACCACATGCAAGTGTGAGAACCGCAGGGGTGCGCCAAAATGTGGCGGGGCCGCCATGCGAACCCTGCCACTGGGGCCTTCGGTGGAGCTCCCTGTGGGGCCACGAACTGTGTGAGGGGTGCGCCAAAATGGCGCGGGGCCGCCATGCGAACCCTGCCACTGGGGCCTTCGGCGGAGCCCCCTGTGGGGCCACGAACTGTGTGAGGGGTGCGCCAAAATGGGGCGGGGCCGCCATGCGAACCCTGCCACTGGGGCCTTCGGTGGAGCTCCCTATGGGGCCACGAACCGTGTGCAGGGTGCGCCAAACTGGGGCGGGGCCGCCATGCGAACCTTGCCACTGGGGCCTTCGGTGGAGCTCCCCAAAGGGCCACGAAGCATGTGAGGGATGCGCCACATTGGGGCTGTGCCGCCATGCGAACCCTGCCACTGGGGCCTTCGGTGGAGCTCCCCATGGGGCCACGGACTGTGTGAAGGGTGCGCCAAAAGTGCGCGGGGCCGCCATGCGAACCCTGCTACTGGGGCCTTCGGTGGAGCTCCCTGTGGGGCCACGAACCGTGTGAGGGGTGCGCCAAACTGGGGCGGGGCCGCCATGCGAACCCTGCCACTGGGGCCTTCGGTGGAGCTCCCTGTGGGGCCACGAACCGTGTGAGGGGTGCGCCAAAATGACGCGGGGCCGCCATGCGAACCCCTATGGGGCCACGAACTGTGTGAGGGGTGCGCCAAAATGGCGCGGGGCCGCCATGCGAACCCTGCTACTGGGGCCTTCGGTGGAGCTCCCTGTGGGGCCACGAGCCGTGTGAGGGGTGCGCCAAAATGGGGCAGGGCCGCCATGCGAACCCTGCCACTGGGGCCTTCGGTGGAGCTCCCCAAAGGGCCACGAGCCGTGTGAGGGGTGCGCCAAAATGGCGCGGGGCCGGCATGCGAACCCTTCCACTGGGGCCTTCGGTGGAGCTCCCTATGGGGCAACGAGCCGTGTGAAGGGGTGCGCCAAAATGGAGCGGGGGCGCCATGCGAACCTTGCCTTTGGGGTCTTCGGTGGAGCTCCCTATGGGGCCACGAACCGTGTGCAGGGTGCGCCAAAATGGCGCGGGGCCGCCATACGAACCCTGCCACTGGGGCGTTCAGTGGAGCTCACCATGGGGCCACGAACCGTGTGAGAGGTGCGCCAAAATGGCGCGGGGCCGCCATGCGAACCTTGCCACTGGGGTCTTCGATGGAGCTCCCTATGGGGCCACGAAACGCTGTACTAGGTGGATGAAACGCAAGGCAGGAGGGAGGAGGGGGAGGGGAGGCAGCGGGAGGAGAAGGAAGGAAGGAAGGAAGGAAGGAGGACGCGGGCGCTGTCTCTTCAAAACGAGGACCCAATACCACAGGATGGTTGTGAACAAAAGCCGCCGATAACGACGCTCCGAAAATTTGCGATAGTGACGGCTTTCCAGACCCTGAACTCCCGTGACACTGAACGCGGTACGAACCATCCCACTGGGGCCTTCGGTGGAGCTCCCTGTGGGGCCACGAACCGTGTGAGGGGTGTGCCAGAATCGAAGCGGCGGTGCCATGCGAACCCTGCCACTGGGGCCTTCGGTGGAACTCCCTATGGGGCACGAACCGTACGGGGGGGGGCGCGAGACTGGGTCGGTGGTGCCATGCGAACCCGGCCACTGGGCCCTTCGGTGGAGCTCCCTATGGGGCCACGAACCGTGTGAAGGGTGCGCCAGGAAGGGACGGTGGTGCCATGCGAACCCTGCCACTGGGGCCTTCGGTGGCGCTCCTTATGGGGCCACGAACCGTGTGAGGGGTGCGCCAGAATGGGGCGGTGGTGCCATGCGAACCCTGTCACTGGGGCCTTCGGTGGAGTTCCGTGTGGGGCCACGAAGGGTGTGAGGGGTGCGCCAGAATGGGGCCTTCGGTGGAGCTCCCTTATGAGGCCACGAACCGTGCAGGGGGGGGCGCCAGAATGGGGCGGTGGTGCCATGCGAACCCCGCCACTGGGGCCTTCGGCGGAGCTCCCTGTGGGGCCACGAACCGTGTGAGGGGTGCGCCAGAATGGGGCGGTGGTGCCATGCGAACCCTGCCACTGGGGCCTTCGGTGGAGCCCCCTGTGGGGCCACGAACCGTGTGAGGCGTGCGCCAGAATGGGGCGGTGGTGCCATGCGAACCCTGCCACTGGGGCCTTCGGTGGAGCCCCCTGTGGGGCCACGAACCGTGTGAGGCGTGCGCCAGAATGGGGCGGTGGTGCCATGCGAACCCTGCCACTGGGGCCTTCGGCGGAGCCCCCTGTGGGGCCACGAACCGTGTGAGGGGTGCGCCAGAATGGGGCGGTGGTGCCATGCGAACCCTGCCACCAGGGCCTTCGGTGGAGCTCCCTATGGGGCCACGAACCGTGTGAGGCGTGCGCCAGAATGGGGCGGTGGTGCCATGCGAACCCTGCCACTGGCCACTGGGGCCTTCGGTGGAGCTCCCAATGAGGCCACGAACCGTGCGGGGGGCGGGGTGCGCCAGAATGGGGCGGTGGTGCCATGCGAACCCTGCCAGTGCGGCCTTCGGTGGAGCTCCCTATGGGGCCACAAATCGTGTGAGGGGTGCGCCAGAATGAGCGCGGTGGTGCCATGCGAACCCTGCCACTGGGGCCTTCGGTGGAGCTTCCAGTGGGGCCGCGAAACGCGTGAGGGGTGTGCCGAAACAGACATGCGGAGGGCAGAGGCGAAGAGGGGGAGGAGGGAGGAGGAGGAGCAGGCGGAGGCGGAGGAGGAGAGGAGGAAGGAGGAAGGAGGAGACGCTTCGCACCGTCTCTTCAAAACGAGGACCCAACACCACAAAATGGTTGAGAAACATTGAAAATCGCCTTCAGCGTTTTGAGCATCATCTAAAGTCATGGTGTCGCCTGGGAGGGGCGCTGCAAAAACCAAGGCCTCGAGCCAGAGATGTGCTTTTCTTTGTCGGGCCCCAGGGCCATCAGCAAATACCTGGGGGTGAACAGATCGCTGCCCTCTGAAAGCCTGGCCAGCCACTATAGAATACGGCCGCTGCGTGGGAGCTGCAACGGTTCTTCGATGGGTGCGGTGATGGCCCCCCCCCGGAGGGGCAGCGGATTGTTCCGTATCCTTTCCAACAAACGAGACGTACCATTTTAGCCAGCGCCAACCCCAAACATTGTTCTTCTAGCAATGTGTATGGTGCTATCTATGTGAAACAGAATACGTGGCGATACCTACGTGGAACAATGCATGTGGTGTAATATATGTGGTTATGGTTGGTGCAATCTACGTGGCGCAATTGATTTTAACAAGCGAGCTGACACGTCCCATGCTGTGGCAAACATCCCACCCACCCTCCCGCAATTTGGTTTGCAAAGCCCATGCGGTGGCGATTGCGATGTATGCTTTGCGTTGGCTGCTGCATGTTTGCGACCGCGCCAACCCTAGCACGCGCGCGCAGCGATCACCTAGTTTGGCGCGACCGACGCGGCCGCGGTGGCGCTGACCGCTGGGCGCATCCCAGCGGGGAACTCACTGCGAGTTGGCAACTTGGGCGGGCGCGGTATCATGGCAACGCCAATTACGGTAGACACGATGCTGATAGTGGCAATGTTGGTGACGAGGTTCGCACCGACGAAGGCGCGGCCAGTGCGGGCGCCGATGCTGATCACGCCGAAAACGATGACTGCGTCCTCGCGTCGGTGGAAAAGGTTTTGGGCAGAGTTCTACATGCGCGCGTGGCCGACGCGCGAGAGTGGCCCGCCTGGTCTTATTGGACATGGATCGTGCCCCCCAGCACGCGCGCAAGGACGTGCGCATGATGTCGGCATGTGGTGCCGGATGCCCGTTTGGCGGAATTCCATCGACATGTTGGAAAAAAATGTTTTTTTCCTAAGAGTTCGCAAAGGCGCAAGCTTCTTATGAAAATTGATGTTGCGACACCGCAGTCGGTTTTGAAATCGTTGCGACGACGAAGGCTTTGGAATGAGTTCGGCTTGTGCGCGCGACGACGCGCGCGCCTGCGCTGCGTCTTGCTGTTGCGCACGATTGTGGCGACGGCGCGCGCAATGGCGTTCGAACGATTTTGACCTGCGCGCGCGAAGCCCGTTCGGTCGCACTCTCTGAACATGTTGATTCGGCGATGGTTTTTTCAAGACTTCGCAAGATTGCGCGCGCGTTCTTCAGAAACTCCGCGCTGCGAGACATGTTTTTTTGTAAGTGTTTTGGACATTCGATTGTGTAACCCTTCCGACGCTGCAGGGTTTTGAT